ATACCTACACCAGCTTGGCCCGTGAGTGCTGCATCGGCATCTCCGGATGCGTGTAACCAATACCGAGAGAATAAGTCGGGTGCAGTTAATTCAATAACCCCGTTAGGGTTATTGATCCTAGTTTCGGACACACAACACACATCAATGCCCAATGTGACCAAGGTGCGTGCGAGTGCAGCCGGTTGACCTGTTTGTCTTAGAGTGCGAACGTTGAATGTCGCCATGGAAACGGGATAGCATGGACTTATAAGGGACTTTTGCCGATAGGCGTCCGATAGATGCTGTGGGATGGTAACTGCAGATGGTTCTACTCCAGTGGCACTTCGGTTGCTGTCAATTAAGCTGGGAATTATAGAAGGAAGGTTAGTAATGGGGTCTGGATGGGAGTAAGAGAAAAAGGTGGAAAAGAAAGGAGGCGCCAGCAGTAGCATGTTTTCACTTATTCGCTCTGTTGCATGCAGCAGATAAGGCGACCCTTGATAAGCTGCGCGACGGCCGATGCAGGATGAAGTTTATGTTTGAAGAAAATGTCATGTCAAGTTAATTATGACCGCTGATGAACTAAGGTTCACCGTACCTGCACTGCGGTGTGAATAGCCCTGCACTGGATCATAGGTCCTGAGGTATTGAAAGCTAAACCAACAGGATGGCGTCAACTACAAATGGATGGTAATATGTGTCTGGAACCAGGAGCGCATTGTTACACCTTACTAAGGCTTAGTGTATCGCCTACCCTCCTTTTCCGACGGCTGACTTACAGTGTTAGTTTAGCCAACACTCTCCAATGTACCCGGATCCCTGCTTCCAATGGAAAGCAGATACACCGCACGGACCCTCTATTTCTATTAATTAATGCATTCCTTGAGGATAAGAGGCTAGGCGGGGATACGTACCCCAGGCAGTGGGAGTAATTAACCTAGTTGCTTCTAGGTTGGTCCGAGGATCCTGCTACAGTTATCAAACACTACTTGAAAATCGCTTAGAGACGTTCCACACGCAGACGCAGATTCAGTTGAAAACGAGTGTTTCTGTTCGTCCCAATGTTACTACAAACTATTTAGTACGATTTGGAAATTTTCAGGCGTTTCGGGCTCCAAATGCGGAGTGGAACGACCGTAATTTACCACTTGACTAGAAGTGACCTTATCCCTTCGGACAACCTTTGAAAGTTTACAAACGAATTGCACAGCGAACGACTCATTCATGCTGATTTTCCTTAAGAGGCTGTTTGAAGCGGCTCGAAAACCGCCGCAAGACGCTGTTATAGTGGACGGCGAATGAGACAACTTGGTCCCCTCACCAAATTCCCACCAGTGTGCAGGTGACTGCCCTACACAAACAGAATTCGCTGTATTTGCGCATGAATCGCGTGAGTGTAATATCACCCGTCATTCATTGTTGTAGTCCTGATAAAGAACACACAAATCACCCACACAACGTACGCGTATGTGCCCGGAATGCAGTGGTGGTCCGCCTGAGGATTCTGTGTAAGACCCACCACAGACAGAATTTGTGGTCAGCCTGCTCTACATGTAGCACTAGGTCACTCCGCTTTCTATACTGCAAGTATGAAGCTTCACAAACACTGACGTATTTCAGTCGTTACACTAACAGTGAATAACTTTCACCTCACCCCTCACCCCAACGACTGTGGAGTGGGATTGCAAATGCACAATAAACAGCCAGTTATGCTTTTTTAAACCATTTCTTTTCATTCCATATGGCGGTGGTGCTATAGTCTCTTTCGCGTTGCATTAGTATGCTACCTCCCACTTCGAGAGGGACAGTAGACGTTCATCGCATATCAGCAGAGAAGAAAAAGTGGCTCACAAGTTGTCTCGGGAGGCCAGTTTAACAGGACATGTGTTTTTCTCTTCGACGGTTACAGCATGTGTCCGCGTGCCACTCCTCCCCCCCCCCCCCCCCGGTAGAGTACGCGAAGTGGTCCACACAACCGAAAGAAAGTGCATGCGCTGGGAGTCATATGTGCGCATGCAATTGGAATGCGACTGCTGCTGCTCTCAGCAGACCACCCTAGGGAACCGCAGATGGCTATGAATATATTTTTTCATTAAAACCATTATACGCCTGGTAGATTGTAGACCGTAATCGCACAATGAAACGATGTGTTGATGTCCAGTTTCGCTGTGCGTAGTTCGTTTTGGCTAGGGTGCATCGTGAAGTCTTGCTAGTACTCCTGCGCTTGTGTCTCGGAGTCTCTTAGGCGTGCAGAACAACACGAAAACCTTTCGCTTCGGGCCATGTATCTCGCTTGATTTATTAGGGTGGTTGTAAAAGGAATGTTTTACCTTCATGACACTATAAGCATGACTGTTTCATACATAAGATTAGTTTCGATAGTCAAAACCTTTGCATTGTTTTTGATGTTTTAGCTTAGTAACGAAACTTGGTAGTGCGCGCAATGAGATCCAAACCGTATATCAGCGAGGTTATGGTGGAAATTTTGCATCGAACCGCACGGGAGCAGGTGGGCCTATGCGTCACTCACGATTTTCTCACAGATGGTTATGTGGATGATATTCTACTCCTATATTCCTCACGAGAAACAGCCTGCAGATGAGCACATGGCTGATTTCCTACAGATGGGTCCATTGATGTGTTATCCAATTTCGAACCACGATCACACATGAGTGGAGAGAGCTTGGATTTCTTAGGAGTACACTGTCCCACGACACAGCGAAGGTATCCTACTGGCACATGCCAAAAAACCGAGAATTTACCAGTATGAGTTGCTAACTCGTGCACATCTATCGTGCAGAGAAACCATCAAGATATCCCCAAGAATGACACCATTGACAGGCGGGTACGGCCGGTTGACTAAAATGGTATTTTGTCATAGGGTGGAGTTGATAGTCGCTATATGTTCTACATGTTCGTTTGTTGAGTAGTGGCCACAAAGTACTGGTTTTAGGCTTTTAAGGTAACGCGGGAGCGATTTCACGACATACACGTGATACGGGCCAAGATTTTTGTTCGATTAGCTGTTCTGTGGAACCACATTGAAGAAAGGCTCCAACAGACAACGTTTAGCAGCTCAGAAGTTCAAGCAAATGATGGTAAGAGTGCGAACAGGGCAAGTAAGTAATGCTTTGGTTGTATTGCACAGCCGTGTGAGAGGCAGAGTTCAACACCGCGAGAAACTTTGCGGCGACCAGTCGAGGGCTAGGAATAAAATTGGTCGATACATTCGTCGTGGAGATTTCACGAAGTTTCACCTCATAGTCATTAGAACAATGGAACACTTGTACTTGACGGGTAAAAAGGCTGAAGTCTAACAGGTCCCCTTTGATGATCGATAGAAAACTAGCAAACTCGGTGAAAAGCGCATCAATGGATTGAATTACGCGCAACGGTGAATTGTTTGATGCGTTGCCATGATAGCGACTACAAGTCCACGTGGTTCGAATTTGGGAATACGCCGTCTGTTTGCGTCAAGTAGCCTCCGAATGAAAGGTTTATTTGTGAGGGTAAACGATGAAATCGTTTGTGGAGAGTGAGCCACAAAAACGATCTGCAAATACATACGAAAGATTGTATGTTTGCACAAAGTCTATAGGGATTCATCTGTTCACATAAAACTGTGCTACCCGGATCGGTTTTTAACGCCTCACTATTTCGCATGCACTATGATAAAATACATTACGAAGGGGGGAAAGGTCGAGATGTAAGTAGGCAGAACCTGAAACCAAACGGGGACCTGCTAAATAGGTCGACACTCGCCCTAAAGAGTGAAGGTGATGGGTGGAGTGCCAAAGATTATGATAAGGAACTATAGGAGGAGTAGGAGAGGGATATGATCGCCGAGTTTTCGGTTGCATCTTCATTTGCAGCGGACCCATTGAGTAAAACAGCTCTCAGGGGAGTTCGACTCATTATGCACTGGCCGTTAATGGCAAATCTGCCTAGTGCTACCACATTTGCAACTAATTGCTAATCCAAATCCCATTCCGACTACTTTTGCTCTTATCTGTCCTGCTTCTATTTTCTTTTTATTATGTTTGTATTCAACCTCGTTTTACCGTTATTTATTGTTATTCTGACAACGTGAATCGTGACAACTGGATCCACGGCACTTCGGTGCCCGGAGCATAGTTGTTTAACTGAACTATATGCTACCGCATGCTTTCAAGAATTATGAGAGGGTTAACACCTATTGATGTTGTATTGTGAACACTCAGTAGCCGCACTGCGGAGGGTTTTCGAGAACTCACACCAATACTGAAAAAGTAAAGAAAAATTAATGTGCCTAAGTGTCAGCTTGCGTAATATCGTTAATGTCCCCGACGACCAATGTAATTATATACCCAGTTAGAGCTGCTGACCCATAGACTGCCGCTGAATGACCGAGTTATGCGCCCCTGACCCTCTTAGTGGGACAGGTTTCGGATACAAATCCGTCACGAAATACTTCTCGGCGTATCCTTACCTACGAGTACTACGCTGTGAGCTTTTGTGAATCGAATTGCGCTGAAGACAAACGATGCTCTCCAGCGGGAGAAATTACACACACTGCATGGGTACCTCGGAAAATAGCTCTTAAGTGACCAAAGTCCGGCCGAAATTCGTCTCCTTGGAACTGTCAAGGGCACACAATCTGTCACGCGATGGCAATAGGTCAGCCACTCCCAGGTACACCTATCGCTCACTCGTGTTGAGTGCTCCATCGTTTCTGAGTCTTCATCATTCCGCCTGGCCAATTCATGCTTTTCCGATTTAGTTTGAACTATTAGCAGCATTACTACTAGTATGCTTTTGGTAACGTAATACAATTAATTAAATCAAATTAAATTACCATTCACCACACTTTGATGCAGGAATCATAATCAACTTACTGAACTAAACAGTATGTTCGGGAGTAATGACTTCGGAACAGTGGACATGTTATAGTTATGACTCCTTCAGCATTTTTCTCGTCCCCTCGTGTTTCCAATCCATGCATTTAATCAACGACTGTGTTCTTCTGTATTCAACCATTTCAGTTCAGCATTGAAGAAAGTGTTGAGGAATTTAAACCCGCACTTAAAGGACACTTATTTCAGTCGAAGAACAGGCCATCTCCACCACAAGACACCCGAAACACACCTTCCCGTTTTAATGTAACTCCTGATGCACTATCCACAAATAGAACACCGTCCAACAACACCACCGGTCAGCGAGAACCATGCCATCACACCAGCGCGCATCAGATAAGCGTCAAACCGGAAGCATTCAATTCCATCAAGCAGATTAATCCACTTGAGAGTTCCACACATTCTTCGCTCCCTCACTTTGCCAACCACTTCAGCAATTCTCATGGAAAACAAGTGTTAAATCAACAACTCACCCAATCAGAACAGTCTCGACTGAGTGCCGATACTCAATGCTCTCTGTGTCATCAGATGGCTGGCTCGAGCATGGAAGATTTAGCGAAGCACTTGGCTCTCGTACACTTGCTTCCACTCCCTTCCATTTTGACACATCTTTCTGTGGCAATGATGGCACAAGCGAAGATTGCTACTTCGGCTGATCCCATTGGACCAGGCAAATCCCTACCATGTACGCACACCACTGGAAGAACCGTGGACAGCTTACATTGGTGTCCGACTCAGGACTACTCGGTGGCCACTTCGTCGTTGTCACGCGTCCACAAACAGTCATTGAAGCGAGGCCACAGCCCAAACGGTAAGCATGGAGAAATCAGTTGGTCGTTCATGGTAGAAACATGTATTTTAAACAAAGTATCGACGTATCTGTCATACCAACGGATAGGCATGATATGTTAGCAATTACTTTGCTCATGAGACCATGTGCTTTTCCGTACGATGACTTGGAACGGCTTTGAGTAAAACTCATGCTCACATGAGGGTTTGTTAGGCCTTCCAACATGTGTCTGTTTACCCGTACCTGAAATAGGTTACGAAGTTAGTCAGGATTTCCGCCCTACCAAACATGTATCTGCAAGGCAATAGCCTTCACCTTTCATTTCGTGCGCCGATTCGCTTCACCTTCCTGAGAGAGAGCGTGAGAGTCATTCTCCGATTCATTTAAACGCGGATAGTAGATGGTGTGAACGACGTTGGCAGGTATTTCATACCTCATTGTCCCACATTGCGAACACATTCCCCGATGCACAAACCTCGAATAAACCCGAGTAGCAACATCACTTGTGTTACACGGGGGTCCACAAAGCGTTGTCAATGCGCATCAGGCGCAGAAAACAGATCGTGCCTCTAAGTAATGATTACCAGACGCGCGCATCTCTAAGGTCCCTACGACTTCCTTATAGCTAGAGCAAGGTGTTTGCTCATGGCAGTTCACACCATTTGCGTTTGTTCACCTCGGTTACATAAATGATACCTGCAAGTGGTGTAGTCCTCTCAGGAAGTTTGTCTCTCTTCGGACTTTTCAGTCCGTGGTAGGATAGTAAATCAGACACCAAGCTGCCACATTCTTGACGAACGGGAGGGAGGAGAGAAGTCAGGTTACCATGTACGCGCCCAACTTGTTACCCAACGACGCACGGTGGGTCAACAATGCGCTGTTCTGTTCCCCTACCCCATCTTGCTCGACTTTCCCGGCATCTTCGTCCGGTCGGTCCCACGGTGGAAAGCTCCGTGAACATCTTGAGCTGTTACAATGTTGACAAGAGGGATAATTCAAGCGTTGCCGATCGTGGTCCCAGTGCAAGCAACAGACCGGTAAGATTTTCCTCGATTATTAATGGTGTGCATGAATCAGCTGACCAGGTATTGTGAATCATGTAAAAATCTGGCCAGCGTGCAACTTTTTCCCACCTGAAAACAGGTAGAACCTTAAACCTAGGCAACTAATCATGTTAGCCTGTTTATGGACTGCCAAGTCATTCGGTTTAGACTTAACAATGCACGCATTCATTGGGTGGGAACACGCATGGACGTCCGCTGACACGTTGAGTTTTCTGAGTACTTTTGAATTTGTATGTTACTGTGGGGAGGGTTACAGACTATTTGGCCCATCGCTTGACTTGTGATGGTCCCAGTGTATCTGCGTTACAGCATCGGTTGTTACCCTGCACCTAACTGAGCACAAGCTGCGCTAGTGCTGCTTGTGCACGTGCCGTTTGCTGAGAGTATGTCTCCGCAACGTGGGAATATCGGTCGCATAGCCGCATGGAGATTATTCCCTTCTAATGAAGGTTAAAACATTGCCTTCCGCTCACCAAACAGCATACCCGGTCAAAACAGGCATTGCTTATCGTCACGCCGAGAGCGAATCTGTCGAAATGTAGCGCAGAAAGCGCCGTCGGTAAGGCACCAGCTTCGTCGGGAAGTTTGTGCTTTATAACACTGCACACACGCAGTGGCTTGGGAGCGTTCTTAGGCGACTCGAAGAAAAAAAACAAGCAGCAACGGATAAACGAACACATCTTAAAGACGTCGTCATGCCTAATAACGGATCAGATGTCGTAACGGGAGCGCAGTTAGCAAATAACCTGTGGCGAACATCCCTGTACTCCTTCGCCAGGTTACACTAAACTGTGAACTACACATTGTGGTATATAGATGGCTCATTGTTCGGCTGTACTGAGTCCTATCCGAATCAGAGGTTTACTTATTGCCTATGGCCAAATGACTCGTTTCTGGCAGGATAATTTCACCAGCAAGTCAGTTATCGGTATGATGGATGTTGGAATCATAGACCGACTGGTTCAGAGCAACTCTGCTGTGAGTTTAACCTAGCAGTCTACCCATTCGTTCGGATGCCCTGTAAAAGCGATGAATAAGCTTAATAGAGGGTCATGTTTGTCGTAAGTCCAGGTAGATTGCGTACAACCAGCTGCTCACTTGATAATCTCACTGACCCACCTCTATTCACGCCAGCTGCTGCAGTGGCGGATCGCAGCACGATGACAAGGACGCACGCAGAACATACACGTATGCACAAGCAATTACAAGGCACTGATCATTCAGAACGTTACCGTTTTAGAATCCCCCATCGTCCGTTAGGTTACTTGTTGTACGTCCGAACACATGTACCTGAAAAGTAACTCTATCGGCAAGTGGACCTTTCAACCGATTCGTGTTCTTACGGTCTATCATCTACCCAAAAGTTTCTCCTGAGGGGTAAGATATTGGTCGATATCTTCGAAAATCCTACAGAGAGACCACAGATTTGCGAGCAAGCAACCGAAACCAACGACTCATAGTTTCATACGTTTGTGTGTCTAGGTTGGTCGGTCGTTTGGTCGGTCGATATATTTGTGTTTACATCAGGAATAAGTATTGTTCCGTACGTATGCCACGGAACAAGGTAACCTTTCACCAGTCTGCCAGCTGAATATCAAATGAGGAGATGCTTTTAAGAAATCTTCTGATGTACAAGTCTAATTGGTCTTAACATTGTAGCCAGCAATTTGTTGCATTAATTTGCCAGCAAATTACTACGAGCTTCTAATGGACGATTTCCTGCGTTTTGTGTATAAGGGATAAATTTCCGTGTTCGGCCGTAATTTTTAAGTTTTTGGCCATCGGAGTGCAGCCATTTGCATACACGTCCTTCAAGTTGGCAGACAGAACTTCCGTTCTTACCGTTTTTCACCAATTGCAGCAGAACACTTATCCGCTTCCACCCACCAATTTGTGTATCTTAGGTACGCATTAAGTTGTTGCCCCCGTTTTAAATGTCAATTAAAGGTGTTTTCACACCAATAAGTTGATTAAAAGCCCCTTCTTATGTCCGTTTGAAATACAGACTGGTGAAACACTACCACATTTAACCGTATCACAAGGAGCAATTTCAGCAAATAACAAAACAGTGATTATTGATTAGACACTTATATAAAGGGAACTATCTAATTTCCGTCCGCTATTTTATCTGTTTTCGCGCAGCAGACGGATAGAACGATACTACGGATTATCATCTTTCTTTTCTTATTAGTTGGGCAACCTCCCCTATGCCTAGTGAGCTACCATGGAAAGCGAACTGGGCATTCGGATTCATTTGACAAATGTGCAACGATGGTTATAAGTTAATTCCGTTTGGTTTCAGATATTGACAACAGAGACCTCAACTTCCCGACATGCGTTACTGAGACCAGTCCGACTCCCTATCCAGGACTGGTCTGTCCACAGTGTTCGAATGGGTTTCCGAGCATTTACCAACTGCAGATGCACTTTGTACAGGAGCACAGTTCGGAGCTTGGAAGTCTATTGAACCTGAGTACCGCGTTGACCACGGGACGCGTCCCTTTCCCCATCCATCCACAGTTGTTTTACCCTTTTGGTGTTCCATTCACCCAGCCGAGCAACCTTGTTCCCCCTCTTCCGAATCTCTACACTCGCGACTCAGTTACACAGCCTCCCTCGAAATGCACGCAAAGGATACTTCCCAACACGGATGGTCTTACATTCTCGGACTCGTCGAGGACAGATTCTGAAAATCAGACCATTCAAGGACCTCCTGTCCCTCCCATCAACCTCATGCAGCTACATTTGGCCGCGGCGGCTGCAGCCCTTGGGTTCCCATACCAGCCAGACCTTTCCACGTTGTCCCACGACACCATTCCGACCGCTTCCGATGGGAATGGGACTTGTGGAGCTACAGTCGGGTCCACAAGCCCTGATGAGATCGTAAGCACCAATGATGTGAGTCTAACGTATCCGGACGCAAAAAGGTCACGCATGCAAACGAGTTCTGACAATTTGGATATAACTACCCGAAGTGAGTCCGACCAGGCATTATTGTCGACCTTAGTCTGACGTCTGCGTATTCCCATCGGGTGCATAATTTAAAGATATATTATGAGGTTAACACGCCCAATGACTTTTGCCCTTCGCCTAGTGCCCAGCAATCGATACAACATTTTGCCTCGCATTTGGTAGGGTCAGCTAGCTGACAGCCACAAATTTCCATCTCATTCCAAATGTCACTCATCTGTGTTGACTTTCAACTGCCCGTTTATATGTTGCGTTTTTTGCAGACAAACGACAAATCGCACGCACACACACACACACACCGTAACATACATCCGAAGTAATCACAACGGGAATTCCAGCCGGATTCCCATAGAGTCGTACATATTTTTTCCATGAGGACCAGATCAGTTTAGTGTGTGTGGGAAGCGATGTGATTACGAGGATAATTGGTACAATGGTGTGGGATCTGCGACACAGCTATCGGACTATACGGTCCAACCACAGTTCAACTTATCAGTCAACGTGAATTTACATTCGGCGTACAAGTCGAAGGACGAAAGGCTACATGCTGTGGCGCGCACGTCCAAGCGAGCCGGATACACAGCATGTGTGACTGCGGTCACTGTAAGTCAGACCATCCAGTGGCGTGTTACAAAGGAAACTTACTAGAAAATATGTTCCTGATAGTGTGCTTACCGTGGTACTGATAGACAAATAGATGGACGGGAGAAATGCGCCTACCGGGATCTGTTGTGCTACCATGCTGGGTTCGTCGGATAAACACAACGTCGATAAACGGAGAAGAATCGTGTACGTCTCAATGTCGAGCTGGTGACACTAGTTTACGTGCTAGTTACCAGAAGGACATTTCGCTTTTGTAGGACAATTCGAGCAAATGTTAAGGGGGGTGAAGGCTTGCCGAAGTCGTCAGTTTGTTCTGGGGTCTTGCAACCACTTTCCAACTGAAACAACTGCGATAGCAGCTTTTTGGTCCGTCAGTCGTACCGAAACTGCGCAGTGAATATGCATCCGTGTAGTATACACTGTTAGTTCACACCTAACCAAACGTGTCCTGACCCCCCCCCCGCGGTATTTGGACTTTTAGCTTATACAGCCGCTGTGGTACATCCACTGAGTACCTATCTGGTCTGCAACAGCTTTTTACTTCTTTTCAAACATCGCTACTGTGCTTACGGATTGGGCGTAGTTGGACTGTACGCTTCTAATGATATTTTGGCTGTCCAGCGTAATCGGATTTTGCCCGATGAACCTTCCGGTCTAACTTGAGAACCTCCATAAACCGCGATACACACATAATCCGCCCAAATGTGGTCGTCGTCAATTTGTGCGTAACACTGATTAAGCTGTTCATCAGATATCCACTCTACCAATACGTGCTCGATCGGACACGGAGTATACCATGAACTGTGAACATAGATGACATCCGCGGTAGATCTCGCATGCAGCACGCCAGTGAGACGTGTGAGAAAGATAGTTTTCGCTTGGTTCCTGTCTATGGTACTACTGTCCGAGGTTGTCATGCGAAAGTGCGTGCCGATGAGAAAAGAATCATTAGAACGGATACATTCAGGCCCATTCAGCAGTGTCTTTGTACACGACGGGCCACCCAGGTCGGATCTGCCGCATGATACATTCGATGTAGAATGTCTGTCGAATAGACAATGCAAATTGTGAACGCACGGACCTGTGCTCTGAAGAGGGAGGGGACGGTTTTGCACAGAGAAGGATGCGATTAACCGAACGCAACCTAAAAGGAAGCTGGAATATTGCGATCACATTGCGGGTGCGCCTTCGTGGGTTCGCTTCATGTCGCAACTCACGCACACATGCACACATTTAGCCCAATGGGCTCTCTATAACGCAGATAACCCACTACCATCGCTGTCACTCTGTCACAACCACACGTACCACCTTAGCCGGGCGGGGAGTGGGACATCGTCCGCGTCATCATCCGCGTCATCGTCCATATGTTGACGTTTAATAAACGGACATTTCTTGTCATCAGATTCGATTGGGTGAGCGCCTTTGTCAGATACAGACAAAATGCACCGTCGATATTGTAACAATACGCCACTTAGGAAAACAGACGCTAGGTGATGGAATCCACGAACCAGGTGATATGCAGATGATTGGAGGAAGCAATCATTTTCTCCGCCAAGTGGCAGTGTTGCCTAGCTCTAACCCTATACACCTGTGTGAAAACTACAGAATAGTGGCCTAAGTGCAATGAAGATGGAACACCATTGTGGTACCGTTCTGTTAGTGACTCTGGTGGTGTATCTAACTAATGCTTATCCCGATGTTGGAAGTGTGCGGGATTCTAAAAATGAGTGTACTTGTTGAGACACTGGCTATAAACTATTCTCTGGGAGTATACATCACAACCCCAGTGGACAATTTTGTCAATTTATCTGCGTTGCATTTAACTGAGCTAATGACTTGGCGATTGGGGGGGGGGTACGGTACGCTTAATAAGTGCTACAACATTTTCGACACATCTCTTGTTCGTGGCACATGATATTTAGTGCACGATCAGCACGGCCCGAAGACCCAACAATTGAGGATACTCACACAGTACAGTTGTCTCAGTGTTGGTAGACACATTCAAACATTCCGTTTCTTTTACGCGTGAGCCTCGTGAGACCATCATTCTATACGCAGGGCTGATTGAAACGTGTTTTCTCTGCACGCCTGGCACGGAATCTCAAGGTTTAGCACCGAGTTCTGATTAGAAAGTAGCTTAAGCAGTCAAGTGACTCAGCCGCACGGTGGCTTGCATGGAACTTCATGGAGAGTAGCATGCGACCTTCAAATGCTGGTGGGGCGGTCAGACATATCCTGTCAATCTTGTATATCACTCACTTTGGTCCGTCACATTGTTTGATAGATCAATACTGTCTGCGCATTGTAAGTGTAGTCGCCGTACTCTACCCCGTGGTGCGGCAGTACGCGGAACATGGTTCATCACCGGGAAGTAACAGGAGTAAATGGGATAAGCATTGCACTGATAGTGCAATCGGATAAATGGCTGGGCCAGATCATCTTTGACGTCCTCCGTGATAACTCTGCGCATTCATATTCATCCATCTGCTGAAAAGCGCGGAAATTAAAGGGGGAGCATCGTTTGGGTTGACCATGTAGTCAGCAATGCATGTGTTTGTTTGGTCTGTTATATCGCAAAGGTAGAGTGTGACCCTATTAGTGGAATGATACGGTGATTTGCACTTTGATAATAACTGGGAATGATCATCTCCACTGCATTTTCAAATGGCTTAGAATGTCCCAGGTAAATCAGTTGTGATTTCCATTTCAATTGCGAACGATTCTCATTAGCCCCTAGCCAAGTCCGAATCATTCATTCGTTACAGACTGGGTGACGCTGCATTCCCTGTTTGGTTTATATGTGGGTAGAACTGCACCTCTCCAAGGTACCACTACCCACCTCGTGCTTGCGACCAGTTTACTGGGTCAAGCTCGTGGAACTAGCGTCTAAGTCAATAACTTCTTCAACTTCGAGGGCAAGGTTAACTTGCGTCACGCAGATTGACTCTAAACAATTTGGCCCCCTGCCCTTATACAAGTGGCCAACACGGAGTCGTGCAGTACTCTTTCTATCTGTAACATAGGCAGTCTTTTATTACACTCCGTGTTCTCCTCTCTACATTCGGTGCAGCACTCGAAGACCCGCTACTTTTCCTCAGTGAGTCTGTTCCTTCAACTGAAGCCTGATTATAAGAATAAGATAGGAGGTCACACAATGCTCAAGGGAATATAACGGGTAAAGAGCCAACTCTTTACATATCCCATCGAATGGCCGGTTTAGGACTTTAAACTGTGCCATGCTCAACCAGTAACTATGATCTTATCGTTCAAATTTTACCTGAAGGATTCATTCTAATCACCGTGGGTGGGATTAGCAAGACCTTGGGCTTGCTACGAAAGCGGGTGATTGTGTGGGGTGTGGGTAACACGTAGGTACAAGAAGTTCCGATTACACTTAAAGTAGCTGTATTTATCTGCTGGTTTGAAACGGTGGCCTCTCAGGTGGCGGTACACGCAGCTGGGGCGGTTAAACCGACACCGTCCGCTAAAAACCTCCAGCATTCTCAGCCTTTGTTCCTCGTACAAATGACACACACCTTTGTCGCTTTCAGTTACCCGATGCTTCTAGCACGTCCGCCAAGCTTGAGTCGCGTATTCCACTTGGGGGCTTGTCTGTTAAGGCAAATCCGGCGAATGCTCTGTGTGAGAAAGGCTTACGTCCTGAACGTCGTGGTTAGATTCTCTTTCCGGAGTGGCCTTAGCAATCGAGGTTTTTCGGAATCAGCACACCGAGGTTCCTTTCGATAGAATTTGTCCACAGATCCTTGTAATTCGGCTTATAGGAGTGAACGACTTTGCCGCAAATGGGCAAGCCTACGTTAAACTGAAAGAAACACTGGAGTGACTAGCAATAATACCATCAAGAGCGGATTGAATTTGCATGGGATCAACTGGTGTTTTGGTCGCTCGTCAGGTCTTGATACCGTCCGCATAAAAATGTTGAAATTAGTATCGGACATTGAGAACCGAATATTGTTGTACATTACGATTGACTTAATAGGATATGCCAAGGAGCCGCATATTTCTAATCCCAGATGCCTGTAAAGGAGAAACTCCTTGACCCACCCTAGGATGGGATCTCCAGTGCCGCGGCGATGGGGCTTGTGCAGAGGGGCACGATGGTCCAACCTACCGATGGTGTGACTTCGAGAAATCAGGAGGAATCATTTCAACTCCCACGCTAGTACCTACTGTACCAATCCAACAGATTGGTAATGCATTTCTGATGACGGAAGCCATGCTGCTCCCGAGCGGTATAGCCAAATTCTACCCAGGTAGGATAGTTGTGCGTCGCCAACGATAACACATAGCTTTTGGGAGGACAACAGAAAACGAATCACTGGGCACTACGTACTTCGGTTGAACCTTCCGCTTGATTTGCGTATTGAAGTTGTTGCCTCA